ACCTGATGCATACAAACAAATTCACATTTATTCATCAAGGAGGTAAAGCATTGGCTTTAACAAGCGTTTAACTTAAATGCACAATGACATGGAATGGAAGCTCCTTTCTAATGGTAGCTTATGTGGCTCCCCATATATACCTACGAAAAGCAATTGCTGAAGAGGTTCTAGGATGACCTTCATAAAAACAGTTTATCCAACAATATAAAACCAAAACATGACAAAAATGAATTCAGCCCTACCTTTCCGCCTGGAAGACCACCCTTTCCATTTATATGAACAGGGGGACAATTTGTGCCAAGAGTACAATCAACATCTGCACCCAGCTGCTTAAGACCAGTTACTAAGTCCCCAATTGGTCTTTCTCTCATTCGGGGCACACCATCAAGTATGTAGCTAAAAGGATTGGTAACATATATGCATTAGCTCAAAAAGATAGTAATACACAAAATAAAAAGCATCAGCATATAAGCAAATAGTTCCATGAATATGCAACATTTTGTTTCCTCAACTAAAGAATACAGTGAAACGCTGATGTCATTTTTAATCCTCTTTTAAGGAACAAATCAATGAAAAACGATTAAATGGTTACATTTCCACATTATATCTTTGGCAAATGCAGATAATTAAACAGACCTTGAATTGCCACCGGCAGCAGTAACAGCAGCAGTTAGAGGTCGCATTGCAGTTCCCGCATTCCCAAGGAAAAGCTCAATTTCCTGACCTTCCCCTTTCCCCACTGGAAATTGACCACCGCAACCTTCCACAATGGCTCGTTTCTGTTCACTGTCATGTTCCACACGTAGCCCAAGTTTTCCCAACGCTACAAGCATGTGATGAACATCCTCACTGTTCAACAAATTGTCTACCACAGTAGTTCCCTACATATCGAACAAGAATTACAACTTAAATAATTGAGGAATTAGAAACACCAAATTTAAATTAACTACGAAAATAACATACCTCAGATAGAGCAGCAAGAAGCAGAATTCGATTGGACAGTGATTTGGACCCGGGTAATTTAACCGTACCCGAAATTTCATTAATTGGTTGAAGCACGATTTCTGATGCTCTGGATGGCTTCTCTGCTGTTGCCAGTGAAGCAGAAACCTGCAAAGGCCCAACCTTAATTGCTCCCAACTTACCGTTGCTCTTGAAAACCAAACCCCAAGAACTTGAAAAGCTTCCTTTGAGATTTGATCTGAAGGAAACCGAAGGTACAGATTTGGGCTTCTGGGATTTTAAGACATTGGGCAAAACACATGTTTTCTGTGTCCCACTGTAGATTTTGCTAGCGTGTGCCATCTCTCCCCAACTTTTGCTGAAACAAAGATTACAGGAATTTGTTTCTTCTGTTTCTCTAAAATGAGAAAGGATTTCTAGGATTAAAAGGAGAAAAGAAAGATTTTAATGTCGTGGCTGTTGTTGGATTCACTCAGTGGAAGGCTTCACCAACCAACCCCACGGGCTACCAGAAAATGAAGATGAATTTCCAATGCTTTTTTTTTTTCCTTATATTCGAAAAATGCAGGGTTGCTTTGGAGTAGTTGTACCTTGTGCTGTGACCGGTTCTGCTTGTCAAATATATAACGCCAAATTGGGTGTTTGGTGGGAACTAAAATCTGCGTTCCCCTACTTGCCTGGCCTCACCAACCCCCTTGTCTAACGGGGTCCATGGGCAACCATTGACAATTTGCCACGTAACCACTCGAGCCACTAGAGATTTGGGTTATTTATTGGAGGCCGAGAGAATTGGTTATTTTATGCATTTAGGCCCTCGACGATGAGGCCGAAAAATATATATTCGTTGGTTAAGCTTGTATCATGAGAATGGTCGAATGGCACTGAACACTGATATCCAAACAAAGCTTTTCCTCAATCTTAAATCTCCGTTAATTTAATTGAAAAAGAAATAGGCCATCTTTGATAAAATGGAAATAAAGAAGGAGAGGCACTCACGGGGACCAGAATGGGGGTGACAGTGAGCCGCTTGAGGGTACGGATGGGACCAAAGACGCAGTTGGCGTGTCTAAGTTCAACGCTCTAAGACACCACATGTGGCTTATGGGTAGGTAGGAGTAGGAGTTTCGCACTTCAAATCCAGCAATAAGCAAAAGCAAAGTTGGTGATGGTGAAGATTTAATTTTAGTTTTGGAGAAAATTGGTTGTTCTTATCTAATTGCTTGATGTATTCATGCTGATCACTGTGCTAAGATTTAATCACTGTGACTGATTAATTAATGGGTGAACCTCATCTATAAATATTGATCATAATGGTTTTTGTTGATATATTTTTAAAATATATAAAAATTTATAAATAAAAAATTATATTTTTTATGTAAAAAGTTATGATTATTTGAAAGTTACTTAAATTGAAAGATTATGTCATATAATGTAACTATTGGATTGTAAGTGATTTTTTATGTGAAAGGTTATATATCTTAATAAAGTAATATATTAAAAAATATTTTTTAATTCAAAAGATATGAAATAATTAAAAAATATTACTGTTTAAAAATTTAGATATAAAAAGTTAAATTTTTATATTGTAGCTTAAAGGTTATGTTTGATAAAATGAATGGTTAAAAGATAATTATTAAAATAATATTTTTATTTAAAAATTGTATCTTATAATATGCAGAAGTGTTTTTAAGATATAGAGATATCTTGATAAAATGATTGTGCACAAAAAACAAATAAGAGAAGAATAGAAAAATTAAGAACAAGAGTTATGTTTTGAATAAAATTCAAAAAATAAAAATAAACACCTTAAAGACAAACAACTTTACACATGTTTAGCGACTTCTCTCGTGTAAGGTAAAATTAGACATTGGTTTTATTATATTTTTAAAATTATTCACATTATTTTATTTTACATACCGAAAAAAATAAATCTTAAAATAAACGAATAATACCTCAAGACTGGTATATATATATTATGATAATTGGTATCAAAATGTATTATGAGGTATTAGCGATGTATTTTTGAAGATAATAAACTCTTATTGAAATGAAGTGAGGAGGATGTCAAGAATCATATGAATCCCACATTGAAAAAAATATATGCTATAGGTAGATAGAGTTATAAGTCTCACATCTAAAAAGAAACTCTTGAAGGAAGGCAAGGGAGGATGTCAATGAGAAACTCTAGGCTGATCGATGTCATGCTCTAGAAGGGAGCTATGAATTTCACACTGTGTAGTAGAGTGATAGAGGATTCGCATCATGTTCAACTTAGGTCAATCATTGAGTGGTAAACGAAAGAGGCTAGATCATCCTGAATCATACCAGTCATAGATCGTGAGGACGTTGCTTGTTGCCAAAGTAGCAGGCCAAGAGAGCCCTATGCCATTCGAAGAGGTACTCTTCAACATATAAAATTCTTTGAACCGTGAAATCTGCAGCCCTTTTCGTTGAGAAACACTTGCAACAACCCGGCATTTTCCTTCGAAGTATCAACCCTCCATATGTTGCAAACCCCGCCACCATGCAAGCTGTTGAAAGTTCCTACTCTCGACCGAGGCGTTGTTGGACCTTTGCTTGATTACGGTATTGCACGTCTTCCTCATAGCGGGGAACACAAATCGGTGTATTGCCGTTTTGATTCACAATTCGAGATTCGTTTGGTATGCACTAACGGTCGGCATTGATGATTCATGGAGAGATATGGATTGTACACTTCCATGTCTCAAATATGCGAATGATACCACCCCCAGTTCCATTTGTCAGTTTGTTTGATGGAGCTTTGGGTTCTATTTGTTACAAAGGCAATATATGTAAAGTCAATTGAAGAGGAGCACTCTGTTTCTCGTAATGAAGTATATTGTTTCTTCAATGAACACCCTGATTTAGTAATTTGTTAAGGTTTGATCTTGTCTCCTCTGATCCTGTTTCATGGAATTCAAAAATCCATAGCAAGATGTCAAATCATATTGGAACCTTGTCCACTGCAATGATTAAATGCTAGTCTCCTCCTCATCCTTTTTGGAACAAAAAGCTGTGCTTCCTCATGGAGCTATGCCTTCCGAATCACACACTAATAAACCTTGAGATATATGTCAAAGTTCTGAAGCTGTATCTAAGCAGAGTAGAAGAGTTTTTGAATTACTGTTCATCGGGATTGAGGATGGCCTAAAATCGGTGTAAATTAAAAACTTAATCTTAATGGTCGGTTGGTGATATTAATTCCCATTTCTTTTAATTATTGTTGTCTCCATATGCAGGTCGAAGATTTGATGCCATCTTAAAAAATCCTTGCACCTTGCAAAATGACAATAATAAAAGAAATCTATGGTAAAATCAAAGCTGTCACTTTGTCCTTGTAGGTAAACCTTCCACCACCAAGCCAGCGGGGGTAGCTACGCTCCTGTTCCTGGAGAAAGACCACGCTGGAAATTGGAATCAGGATATACATGTTGAATATGCTGAGGTCTCTTAATGTCCAAGTCAAGCATGAGGCCACAAACCACGTTGGCAATTTGGGTCCCATGGCAATTCAGGGCAATATACAGAGAGATGTTTATTTATTTTTTAGGGTGAAAAGATATTAAAATTTGATTACGCTAGCCAATGCTTGTCAGGAAACTTTTGGTGGTAGAAGACAATGAGGATAGGCCGAGTGAGGACAGGGTCCCCAACTACCACAAACTTATCAATAGGTCAATAGCTTTCCTTCTTCCCTGGTGGATCCCAGACAAAAATTTTCTCAATTCTTGGCCTCATTGAATTGGTTAATTGGTCCCAGTCCCACCCCTAGCCTTTTTGAATGGGTTGAAACCGTTTCCCAATCTGATTCAGTTATGTTACGCATAAGTTGAGCTTCTTCTGGCTGGAACCTAACTACAATTTCAACCACCCGTCCCTTTGTTTCTTGGCAGGAACATCCCATGCCTAATTACTTGATCCATCCATTCAACATGTCAAACAAATGGATAGACATGAGCAATTCGAGGGATCGGTTACTGTAGAAAGCAAAATTATACAAACTGGGTCTTACGTCATATGGCCAAACAAGTTCGAACAATAATAAATTTTGAGGTTCTTGACCACTAATCAAAATTACAATAGTAGATAACTTCCGTTCCAGTAAAAAAAATAAAATGTAAGAGGACAAGGGTAATGCTAATTTAAAGCAACAACAAGTATTGCAAAACTCTGGGAGAAGTCCCAAGAGTAGTTACAAATTCATAAGCATACAGAAACTCTACCCACCCTTTCGCTCTATGTTGCTATTGATGAATCATAAGCAACAGAAGAAGATTTAATTCTGCTTCTTATTAAAACAAAAGAGACTGTTACGATTGGAATGGCCTCTTCATGTAATCCTTCATCCAAAACAAAAACCACAAGTTTCGCCGGAGGCTTCTAACCAAGCCTAGCATAGTTCCTTCGCTGCTGTAACAACAGCCTCTGGGGTTAAACCATATTCCTTGTATATTCTGCCTGCTGGTGCACTTGCACCAAACCGGTCAATTCCAATTGACTTTCCTTTGGATCCAACTATCTTCTCCCATCCAAACGTTGATCCAGCCTCAATACTCACCCTAGCTGATACAGCAGATGGCAAAACACTTTCCTTGTAGGCATCAGATTGCTCATCGAAGAGCTCCCAACAAACCAGGGAGACAACCCTAACAGCCTTTCCTCCATTCCTTAGTTCCTCAGCAGCTTTAGAAGCAATCTCTAGCTCAGAACCAGTTCCAATCAGAATTACATCGGGCTTGTTGCCTGAAGAATTGTCTGAAACAACGTAGCCACCCTTTTCGACTCCCTCAATGGAAGTTCCAGCAAGTTGGGGCAGCTTTTGCCGAGAGAGAGCAAGAATTGAGGGTCTCTTCCTGTTGACGACAGCAACCTTGTATGCACCAGCAGTTTCATTTCCATCAGCTGGACGGAGCATTAAAATGTTAGGCATTGCACGGAAGCTCGCCAAGTGCTCAATAGGCTGGTGGGTTGGTCCATCTTCCCCAAGACCAATGGAATCATGGGTCATAACATAGATGACTCCAGCTTCACACAAGGCAGAAATCCTGATAGCAGCTCTCATGTAGTCAGTAAAGACAAAGAAAGTAGCACAGTATGGAATCACACCAGGGCTGTGAAGGGCAATGCCATTACAGATGGCTCCCATTCCATGTTCCCTAACACCAAACCTAACATTGCGTTCCTCAGGGGTGTCCTTCTGGAAATCACCATACATTTTGAGCAAGGTCATGTTGGAAGAAGCAAGGTCTGCACTTCCACCAAGAAGACCAGGGAGTACTTTTACGAGGGCATTGAGATTTTGTTGAGAGAGATTTCTCGTAGCATCAGCTGGGCTCTCTGGAGTGTATGTCTGGAAATTGCAAACAAAAGAGGGCTCAAATAACAGTTTTACACTCCAATGTAATACAGACTGCATTAATCCTATGAAGGAGCATTATCTAAGAATTTAGGTATTACTATGTTTACTAAGGACAATCAGAGGTCTACTCACTGGAAGTGCCTTCTCCCATCCAGCTGGTAGTTCACCAGTGATGATTGTCTTGAGCTCTGCAGCTTCCTCTTTGTACTTCTTCTCATATTCAGCAAACTTGGCATTCCATTTGGCTTCAAGAGCAGCACCCTGAGGGACATGGCGACTCCAGTGCCTGCAGAAATGGCAAAAAAGTTTTGAACACCAAACCAAAATAACATCATCACATGCATACATAAAAACCTAGAATAGTCTACTTACGTTTTAACATCTTCAGGTACATGGAAAGGCTCATATGGCCATCCAAGGTTTTTCCTAGTAGCATCCACTTCCTTGGCACCCAGTGCACTGCCATGTACACTGTATGAGTTTGCCTTGTTCGGAGATCCATAACCAATGGTGGTTGTCACCTGCAAAGATCAAGAAGAAGAAGCAAGTTCAATGAAAATGACATCTTCTACCACACAGTTCTCATGAGCCTAATTCTGTCTATAAAATCAATAACAAGGTTGACTGCAATACAAAGAGAGAGAAAAGATTTTTCAATTTTCTTTATTTGGTACAAGATTTTTCAATTTTCTTCATTTGGTACAAGATATTTCAATTTTCTTTATGTGGTAAAAGATTTTTCAATTTTCAATTAAGGCATTGTTTATGCTGCTAATATCATGCAGGGCCTTTCACACATCAATGAATGAAGGCAAGCATATTACTTCCATACAAAATGTAGGAATGCAAACATGTTGAAAATATCTGACCTTGATCAAAGTAGGTTTGTCTTTAACAGCCTTTGCTTCCTTAATAGCAGCACGAATATCATCATAGCCAGTGTTTCCATTCTTGACCCAGATAACATGCCACCCAAGCCCCTCAAAACGCTTATCGACACTCTCAGTAAAGGCAATTTCAGTGTCACCATCAATGGAAATGTGGTTGTCATCATAGAAAGCTATAAGCTTCCCAAGTCCCCAGTGTCCAGCAAGCGAACAAGCTTCATTTGCAATACCCTCCATTTGACACCCATCTCCCAAAATAACATATCTACAAAAACAAAAGTCCCAATATCACTACAAGATTGAACATGAAGGCGACAAGAAAGAGAGAACTAGTGACTACTGAGTCATCATACGTGTAGTGGTCAACGATCTCATTGTCTGGCTTGTTGAATCTAGCAGCCAAGTGTTTCTCTGCAAGAGCCAACCCGACAGCATTCGCAACACCTTGACCAAGAGGACCTGCACCACATATAAGTAGATAAATTTGCTTAGTATGACATTTTTGTTGATAAAAACAAATAAAATCACTTTCGCAAAGGAGTATCACTAACCAGTTGTGACTTCAACTCCAGGTGTTTCAAAGTTCTCGGGATGTCCTGGGGTTTTGCTTCCCCACTGACGGAAACTCTTCAAATCTTCTTCCTATAACATAATCCAATAATCATAAATTTTAGTCATGTAACGCAAAAAATCAACTTTCTTTACCATACATCATCCTCAAAATATTACTGCCTAACAACTGATCAAATCGTCAACAAGACATTTAAAAGAATAAAGAACTTTACCAAATAAAGGAAGAGAGACTCAGATCCAATTTAAAAGACGCTTACCCGGACACTGTCGTAACCAGCGAGGTGAAGCAGAGCATACTGCAACATACAACCGTGACCAGCGGACAACACGAAACGGTCACGGTTGAACCAATAAGGGTTCTTCGGGTTATACCTCATGACTTCATCGTACAAAATGTGGCCCATCGGAGCACAGCCCATAGGCAACCCAGGATGGCCCGAATTCGCCTTCTCGACAGCGTCAATGGCCAGGAATCTGATCGTGTTGACCGATTTCTCCAGCAAGGAAGTCTCTGCGGCCGTGCCAATTGTCTCCACGGCGGCAGCACGGACTTGACGGTTCTGGTAGGAGCGCACGGGAAGGCGTCTACGAGAAGCGGAAGCACGTGAGGTAGTGGATTTGAGGCCAGAGAAGGTGGGGAGAGAGAGGGTGGAGAGAGAGACACGGTGGTCGGATGACTGGGTGGAGCCATGGTAAGAGATGGCGCGAGCCAAGAGGGCTTGGGATAGGGTCGGAGATGAAGTTGAGGCCATTGTTTTCTGATTGTGTGAGTGAGAGGGCGAGTTTGGTGAAGAGACAGACCCCTCTTCCCTTGATAATGTTGAAAACAGAAGGTTACTTTAATTGATATATTCGAGGGAGAGGATGCCAGAGTCAGGCAAGTTGGAGCCACCAACTCTCATTGATCTTCTCGTCTACACCAAGGGACAGATCGATTGAGCTGACCGTTAGATTCGAAGATGGCCACATCTACACCGTTTACTGTGGGTAGGAATTTGAGATTTCTTTCTCTGCCTTTCATTTCTTCCTTCCTTTTCTTTTTAATTTTTCATAAATCTTTTCCTTTTTTAAGGTTGTCGCTCACCTCCAAAAATCATGTTCCTTCAATATTTTAGTGACATTTTCGGGTCCCCTTAGCTGTTCATTTTACCATTTATTTTTTGAAAAAGTAGTTGAGTGATTAATTTTTTGGGGTTAATGATATTAATTAGATTCAGTTAAGATTTTTTTAAAAAAAGAAGTTTAATACCGAATTAACTGTTTATACAATTATTTAAAAATAAAAAATTATTATTACTGAAAATTGTGACTTTTCTATTTTTTTCATAGGAAAGCAATTATTGAATCGGCTAAGAATCCTAACTTTGAATGATGAATCCGATTAGAATTTAAATTCTTTGTTGATACATTATGAATTAGTTTATGCCTATGAGATTAGGAAACCCAGACCCAAATTGGAAGTCAAAGCCGTAAGTTTAGAAAAGCATATCTAAATGGATGCTGATAAGATTCGGAATTCAAATATCAAAAATAATACTACTTATTTTCCCGTCACCATTATTTAATACTTAAGCCGCCTCCGGGAAATAATGTTACCGATGGCTTATGAAAAGATGGCATCATCAAAAAGCAAAAGGTAGAAGGTTGTTGGGAAGTAAAATTCCGCCAAGTTCGGTGGGAGTTGGTCAAGAACATGTAACTTGCTTGGAATCTAATAACCTTGCAAAAGGTTTGATTACAACACTCAAATTTCAATTCTACGCTCATTGTTCACATTCAATCACTGTTTAATTGCAATGTAAGTTGACATCAGATCTGCACGTTCATTGGTGTATTTTTAAAATAAAAAATTATTTTTTTATAAGAAAAATTAAAAAATTAAAAATTATATTTTTTTCATATAAAAATTTATTATTGTTAAAAATATTACATCAATTGAATAATTATATCATATAATATGATATAATATTACTATTGAATTAAAGATGATTTTTCACGTGAAAAATTATATTTCTTAATAAATTGATATTTGAAAAGATCTTTTAAATTCAAAAATTATAAAATAATTGAAAAACACTCTTACGTCAAAATTTAAATACAAAAAATTATTTTTTTATATTGTAACTTAAAAAATATATCTTATAATATGAATCGTTATTCTTTTATACAATAATTATTGAAATAATATCATATTATATTTTGTAACATGTAAAGGTACCTTTTAACACATGGAGTTGTCTTCATAAAGAGTTGTATCCTTAAAAAAAAAAAAGACACTAGGAAACCTACGACTTGTTGTCAATCATTTTGACACATCAAACAAATAAAATAAAAATAAAAATTCAAAAGTAAGAAAATTATTATATTCTAACGAAAAATCCAAAAAATAATCATAAACATTTTGAATTCCCATTGTCTAATAATAATGTTCAAATTTCTTGTAATCTATTTACTACAAAAAATAAATTCTAAAACTAAACAATGTTACAACTTTCGAGTGTGTCTAACAATCTATTCTCGTAAGTGTAAAACAAAGTTAAACTTGACTTCATTGTATTTCTAAAACTATTCGCATAGTTTCTTTTATATATTGCATGATGAGAATGAAATAATTCTTAAAAATAACATCTATTAAAGACAAATCTTGAAACTAATTTTGCTTATTTCTTTTAAATTCTATCTAAATCCCATTTGCACTTAAAAGTGCATAAATACTTAGTACACTTAACCGATGTTTAAAGCATATGGCTATAAGCATCTAGCAGTCATACCATCTATGGATGGAATAGTTGCATAAGCTCTTTAATCACTCGAGACGTCATGCTGAGAATGAAGATGATATTCACCATTTTAATTTGCTAAGATTTGAAAATCGTCATGATGTCACTTAATTAATGTGTTACCTCCTACATACAACTAACTTTCTAAAAATCCCATTCTCTAACAAAAGGAGAAATATTTCACTATGAAGCACATTTTTCATTTTGAAATGAATAACAGGTGACATGACATTATACATTCAGAAGGCATGGGAGAGGCCCTTAGTTTTGTCTTTTTTATCAAGGAAGAGAAGGCTTAAATGGAAAACTGTGTATATCTTACATCATTTTGATCCGTTTACAACTTGAGGAGGAATTCCTGATCCCCCTTGGTGTAACAGAATACGCTGCTGACGCTGATCGAAGAGAAGGTGACTTGTCAATATATGCATACCGTTCATTACCATTCCAATATAAAACAATCCGATTTGTGCAAGTATGAGACCAGCTATCACCTACTCAACATGGTTATACTACACATGTTAAGCACTGTAACTATGGAAATGGACAAGAATACACAAATATGTTTGTGACTATGCATTTAGAAAATATAACAGCAAAGGCAACTAAAAGTTTAAGTGAGAGACATAGATTATTGGGAGTTAATATTACCGAGTGCAAGAGCTAATTGAAAGGAACCTTCTGAAAGCTTTGTGGTCACCTGATTCAATAAAACAACCTGCCAAAAGGAGGTACATTGGAAACTAGTAAACACACAACCAAAGGTGGAATCATTCGTGTACCTTCTGAAACACCCCAAAGATTGAAACAACATATTATAGTAACAAGCACGATAAAAAAAGAAAAATAAAACAGCATACCAAAAAGATGCATTGTGATTAGGTAGACTGAACAAGGTTTTATGGAAGAAATAATACGAATTCTACAAAGAGAACAAACTTGTTCTTACAGCCAAACTGAACTTTTTGGCCAGCTTCATCAATTTTAAAGCCATTCCACTAAGAACTCGAGTCCGAAGGGCCATGTCATCAAAATCTTGGCGGAAATGGAAGGTAACACTATCCACAACAACCACCTTCACCTGCAACAATGATGTTATATCTATTTACTGATCAATTAAAGCAGGTAATTAGTAGCACCATTAACTAAACAAGCCCCAAGACAGAAATTGCGTCAACAAAAAAGGATAGGAGCGACCATATTACTACTATACCCACATCTTTATGTTCTGAAATGAACTTGTCTAAGTAATTTATCAGGGCAATTTGCTCTGTGTAACTGCAGATGCGGAAATAAAATATGTTTCCAAGGATATCCTTTGGTTGCATTCTGATTTCACATGCTTGGAAATCCTTCCTTAAGAATCTGTTATATTCTGACATGTCTTCTATGCACGCTTCAGCAATTTGTAAAGCACGCTCAACCATAAAACTGCCTTCTGTATCTAAGTATCATATGATCACAATGTCAGGAACCTAAACCTAATGGCAAACCAGTACAGAAACTAGCAGTGGTTTTATAAAAGTTACCGATGTATATTGCCTTTCCACCAAGGCCACCAAAATCATGAGGAATTTGAACATTAACGGCAATTTGAATCCTGTAATTAGGATAGAATTAATGCCAAAATAAATCTGATGTAACGTGCAAGTAAAACCTGGATAACAAGCATCCATCCCTACCCCAGCTGTGTTTTACCAATGCCTGGGACTCCACCTATCAGAATCAGATAAAGATGACATCTTCACTAACAAAATATTACCCAATTTATATTTGCTTTAAAACAAAATTAACAATTAGTCCAAAGAAGAAGAGAGTAAGACCAACCAATTTCAGTAACTTCTTTGCAATGTATTCCACCACCCAAGATGTTGTCTAGATCTGCAGAGGACGTAGTTATGTGCACCAATGACTCCTCCTCATGGAGCATATCCCAGGCATTCTGCGCACCTGCCAAAAGATGGAATTAAATAAGAAAAAGGAAACAACGCTAACAATACAGTACTCCTCTGAAGCTATAAGAAATACAACTGACCATATAGACATAAACTAATGATTGTTTTTCCTTTTTACCGAAGGGAATTGGAGAAAAAACAATAGAGGCATAAACTAATGATTCTTTTTCCCTTTGTACCAATGGGAATCAAAGAAAGAGCAATAATAAGAAGAAATGCCAAAGGGACAGTTTCAAATTTCTATAAACATCATAACCAATGGAACCCATTACTACTTCACCAAATATAAAGAAGCTTGGCTTCACGAAAGCTCTATAGAGCAGAGAAATGATAGATACCCTCAAAAATTGAACAATTTCCACTCGACATTTCCGATCCCCCACTATGTGAATGTGATGCAACCTTCAGAATATCTAGAGCTTCACTTTCTGAAACTTTTAATTCTGTATAAGAAGAAAGACAATGTTAGGAACAATAGAAAACACTGTAGGGACACCAATTCACGTAGCAGAGAAACTTTGCAGGATCAAGTGTTGGAACGACAGATAAAATGGGGGCAAATGCAGGAGTCCTTAGGTGTTTTGCCAAGTCATTCAAGTTGGATTGGCAATAAAAACAAACAGCTGGTGGGTTTGAATTGCTAAATATAGGGAAATTCTATAAAGGGAGGTAAAGAAGAAAGCAAAGAGTTTATCTATAACCTCGAGCAAGGTCAGATGAAGAGATGGAAGAAAGTGAAGAGAGGGTAGTGTAGCCAGCTGATATTAGCTTCCCTCTTTGCGATGCTGAGACTGGCAGCCTCCATATTTCCATCTCCAGCGTCCCTCACTTTGGCGCCCGATTAAAACTTGAAAAGAGCTCTCCCTTAAGATGGACAACTTCGGTGGATCTTGTGTGGGCCTGGCGGGATTAGCCCGGCTAACCACCCACATAGTTGGTAGCCCGTAATTTCTCCTTTGGGCTCGGCCCTGGAAGAAGAGTTTTCTGTAAAAATGTTTTCTTTTTAACTCTTGAAAGCTACAATGCCAAATACCGTATAACTATCACATTTTTAATCATTTCAGGATCTTACAACCATCCTATGTACTATATTTTCCATCTTTCTTGTGTTGTATCCTACCTTCCCTGTGTTTCAGTTAAAAATTAAAAAAGTAAATTTATAGAAAAAAAATATTATCTACATGTAAATCATAAAAACTCAACAAAGATACCGTGCAAAGCTCATAAGATTTTATATCAAGTACTGAGGCAACATGCCCTTTATAATTGCTTTTGCCTGTGGCTGTCATGAATATGTTCGATGCCCTTTTCATATTCTGCACTTGAGCCACGACCTCCTTTAACCATCAGATATTTAAGCTAAATGATCATTATGACATTTAGACTATTCAAGGATCTCCATGAAGATCAACAGAATGGAGATGTAAGCTCTGAGATGCTTTTGCACGTGCACACCCTCATCATTGTTGTTGCAGGGAGGCTTGTACGAGAGATGTAAGTGATGGATGAACCCGGGCCCTTCTCAAAGAGCGAGCCTCGCTTCTGCCTGCTGCATATTCCTCCCCTAATGGCCACCTTGGCCGCAAATCATACTTGTGCAACACAAACATGAAACTTTTATACTATGAAAATTCAAGTGAAGTCAAATTATATCTGCCTATAACCATGCACAATTTATGTCATAAGATATTTCCAACATACCATGAAATCTTCTGGATCATTGGCGGGCGGTGGAGGATCATATCTTCCAACACGAAAGTTTTCGATGCCAGTCCAAGCAATCATCACACCTATTTCACATGAAAATAAAAGCATTAGTCGCCTACTTTTATATAGCACATCTAGGCAACTTCCCAAGGTTTATACCTTGGGGTTAGGCTTTTATATAGGGCGTCTGAGCATGTCTATCTATCTATCTATACATACATGCGTATAGGCACATGCACAAACTATCATATGCCTAGTTTTTTAAAATTTTATAAGGTTGACCAAAAGTTACAGAATATGACTAACCATTGTCAGTGCAAAGTTTGGGAGGGGGACAGACAAGCTGCAGACTATACTTCTTAACAATCTGATCCAATCGGGCCCTGACATATTGATTTGATGCTACACCTCCAGATACTACCTGCAAGAAGCACCATATGAACAAGGTCATCATACACCAAGTGGCAGATTAACTATAAGAAGCACTCAATACCATAAGGAGTAAATAAATTAAAAAATTGTAATTTGCATAACCAGATGCTTTATGGAAGGCTCAATCTTCAATGCCCATTTAATTGCTCGTTCACACCTTTCTTCTAGGTGTAATACTGCAACTCGCTGCAGTATAGATTTTAAGGGCTCAGAGAAAATCAAGAAATATATTTTGAGATTATCAACTTAATGTGCTGATTCTAGAATTAAGACTGTCATACAAAGAAAAAGGGAAAAGGAAAAATAGGTAACCTGAAAAGAGGCCGCAATATCAGCTCGGGAACTCCTGTCTTGTCTACTTGCGCATGAAATGGGAACCTTAGCATCACTTCAACAAATGGGTATCAAGTAGAATTCACCATGAGATAACAAAGGGGAAAAGTCAATCATCAATTATGGTAGGTAATGGCATTGGTCTACATACATATTTCTGGATGCAATTGCTAGCCTCACTTGGGTCTTTAGACCAGCATATGAGAAATTGCAATCTTTATGCTGTTTCATTGGAGTCTGAAAAAAAAAATTCATAGTGTGAAACTTAGGACGCAACTACTCAAAGCAAAGATCAAAACCAAACTTCAAAAACTTGTTAAACAGAACCATCAAAAATACATTCCAGTAAAGGTCAATACAGTTCTGAAGGGAAAGACCTACTGAGAATCTAACTGATTCTGCATCACCCTCTCGAGCAAGTTGCTCAACAGCTGGCCCACCACTCTTCCTCATATCAAGGCCAAGCCATTTTGCTGTCTTGTCAAAGGCCTCACCAATTGCATCATCTATAGTTGTCCCAAGTTGAGTGTATTGGCCAAGATCATGAGCAAGAACTAAAAGATTGTGTCCTCCTGCATGAAACACAAGTGCAATCTGCAATGCTTGTAACCCACAAAGCCACAAGAATATAGCAGGTAGTATAACTAAATTTATGATTTGTCCATGTCACGTATAATCATAGAATTTCTTAATCACATCCAAAGGAATTTCCTTTTGAATTATTGGCCAATAAATTTCAGTATTCCATAACTTATGTGAAGCGGAAAATTTTAGGTGACAAAACTTTAATTACCCTGAGTTACAAAGTACTGCAGAATAATACTTTGTAGCCCATGATGTTGTTACAGCCATTATATGTAAAGACTAGGCCATACACATCTCTCTATCTTACCCTCTGTCTCACTAACTAGTTTGCAAGCAAACATATGAATGCAATGAGTATACGAGACACATACGCCACAGAACCAGAAATTTTAACCTGATATAAGCAGTGCCATGAAAGGAAATTGCAACTCCTTTTCAATCAGCCTGGATAAAGAAGGAAGAACGTCAGGTACAGATAAACGTATGGTATTAAAAAAGCACACCATTTTTCTTGAAGTGAAACAATGTGTGGCTAATTTTTAGCATGTCATAAGTGAATGCTACTCGTTTAGCAGTGCAGACCACATTCTATTCTATAGATAGTCATTGCTTCAATACCGGGCTACTAAAGCATGAGCCTCCATGTGATGTACACTGATTATTGGTAGATTGAAGCTGCCAGCAACTCTCCTAGCTTTCTGCACACCAACTGTACAGAAATTTGCATCAAAATAGGCCATGAAGGGCAGGGTAACTTCGCCAGCAGTTTGAAGTACCGATGAAGTATGAACGATATAATCCAGTTAAAAAAAACAAATAATTATTCACATTTACCGCGAAGGCAAAGACTTAAACCAGGTCCAATAGTAACAGCAACGGCAGATAGGTCCCTTCCAGTCAAACCAGCTTTATCAAGTGCTTCTTGCACAACCTGCACTTGATAATCAAAATGTCATTTATTTTTGGATTGAAATTTCTAAAAAAAAAAAAACCTTATGTGTAGATGTGATACCTGATCAATGACTTGTGAGTGTGCTTCTTCAGCCATTTTAGGTGCAACGCCTCCATATCGAGCTAGCAAATCTGCCTTGATATGGCCAATAGTTAAAGTGAGTACAGGCATAAACTTTTTTCCTTTTTTGAAATAATGACAAACTTGCAGCTCAGAGAATAAGTACTTACCTGAGAAGACACAACTTGGCTGAGAATTTCGCCATTGCCTCTCACCTGAGATTCACCCAACGCATTAAAATTTAAAAAAATACCCGTAAAGGAAAAGAAAATGGTACTTACGACAGCCGCTGCTGTGTCATCGCAACTCGTTTCGATGCCCAGAACAACCAAATCATCATGAAAGGGTTTGGGCGAAACGGAACTTCTCGAAGTGGAGAAATGAGTTGTTAAAGAATTGAGTGAAGAAAGGCGAGGAGAATTCAAGGATCTTGCTCGCTGTTGCTTGTGGGATTTTAGTAAATTGAGAGATTTAAATGCGAAGGGAATTATTATTAAAGATTTCGGGACTAAATTTAGGCGGGAAAATGTTGAAGGTAGTGTTAACAGTGAAGTCATGTTACCAGAACGAGAGAGATGAAGGGCGAAGAAGACAGCTGTTTAGCCAGTTAGAGAAGAGATTACGAACGAACGATGATTCAAGAAGGAAGCGATCGTTTCGTTACTCCGTTATGTATCAAACGACACCGCATTCCAGGTTTTTTGGGCTAAAACGACGTCGTCGTCGCTCTAAGACATCTGCTCGTTCAATATATTAACATATTAATAATAACAAAAAGAAAGAAATAAGAAAAAAAAAAGAAGAACATAATTATTGACCTTTTTAAATTAATTAGTGGGAGGGAAATGCCAGACTATAATTTGTACAAATAGATTTCTTTTTTCAAGTAATAAGTAAGAATGGAATTATTGAATCATAACTAAGCTTTTCCAATGCAATATAATGAACTCACATAAAGTGAGATTTTCATTTTGCATACATGAATTAATAAAGAGCATTTAAGTATCACCCCTTTCCAAGAAGAAAAAAACTAAATTAATTGTTCTTAAATGCTTGAATTTAATGAATTATTACAACTTTAGCGTCTACATTTATTATTTGTATGACTTCTTATCTGTAAATCTTGGTTTCCAGCCATTTATAAAAATTAAGCAGCCTATTTAAGTTTATGTGTTGAGATACTAACTGTGTGTGGAACAATAAAAGTGAAGTTCTGACTACAAATCTTAGATAAAACAAAACTTTAAAAGGAAATGCGTGACAAGGAAAGCAAATCCAATCAGTTCCAGTTGTCAAACCTTGAATGCAGAGCATCCTGACAGGAAATCTGGAGTGAACGGTAAACATTGTCCTGCGCCTTGTGCCATGTTTTCATGCAACAATGGTCATGCCAAACCAGCAAGGTCAGGAAAAAGGAATTGTCATTTAATACGGATGCAACCTTTACTTATCTACTCAAAACTCTATTAAATATTCATATCCTCTTCATTTTTCTGCTTGCATGTCCTACCAGGATATGGAGACAAGGCAACAATCCTGTTCTGCTTCTTCAGTTAGCTATGTTATTGAGGTAAGTAGGTAACAGTTTTCTGTTTCGCTGTTTTATCGTGCTTTTGTTGATCTGAGTACGACTTCCTCTGTTCTGGGTTTTTTTTTCTTTTCTTTTCTCTGTTTCTTTCTTCTACTCTTGGGTTGCATGGATGATGGTTGGGCCCGATCAGTCAAATGAAGAAAGAAAGAGAACTGATGAGAATGCGTGCACGAAAGATGGATCGCTTGATCGCCATGGCAAGCCAGCCATGAAGGGGAGAACTGGAGGATGGAGATGTGCAATGTTAATACTAGGTAAGAAACAAATGAAAAACTGTGAAGTATAAATAAGGATTCCGCAGTTCAGACTCGGATTTAATAAATATCCATTTAATTGAATATATCAACTTCACAGTTAATGCTAGTTTTGTCACTCCACAGATATGTGTTGCAGCAAATGATAAGTATCAAGAAATGAAGTGAAACTTTGCCACTGAGAATCTGGGATGTTTTTTGTGTGATTAGCTGATAAATCAGGAGAATTTACAATCTATCTCTGATAAGACACTCTCACAATTAGAACTTAGGTGGTTTGACGTTTAGAGGCTTGTTCGGTTATTGTCAACTGCCATAGTGATTTTTGGGTTAGCCGTAGTTTTGATGTAGTAAAGGTTCTCTGCGCTTATACCTTTCTCTGCACAGCACAGGTCTTAAGATAAGAGTAAGGGAGCTTTCTTTTGTTTTTTGCTCAGCTTAGGGAGGAAACTGCTCCCATTTTCGTCAGGCAGTGCTGCTGCTTTTTTGTACTTTCATTATGCACAGGCCTCTTTATTATGCCAGCAAAAGTCTTTAGCAAAGTGCAGAAGACTTTAGATGGCATGAAGACTTGATGCTAATAAAACAACTTTTCAAAAAAAAAAAAACAATTAGAACTTAATATTGACCATATGCACCATAAAACCAAGGAGATTCTGTTATTTTATCTTGACCACTTCTGAGTTACAATGCTCACATAATTGGGTTTTATGTACTGTTGCCTAACAGTGAATCAAGGACTTGTTACGCTTGCATTTGCTGCAGTGGAGGTGAATTTGGTTCTGTTTTCGAAGTCTGTTCTAAGGCACACTAATGCAGAGGCAGCAGACACATTTAGCAGATGGATGGGAACTGTTTATCTTTTCTCTTTTATGGGTGCTTTTCTAAGTGATTCCTACTTGGGAAGATACCTGACATGTGTCACATTTCAGGTTCTCTACCTTATTGTAAGCAACCTTCACAGGTTTATTGTTTCCATTTCTGTTTTCTTTGACAAAACCACCTATTTTTGAATCTAAGCCAGTTTATGAGCATATTAACAGCCTTATTATGCAGACATTCAACAGTTTTTAATTGTTTTTCCTTGTTTTTGCACAGGGGTTGGTATCACTATCCTTGGTGACGCAATTGTTTCTACTAAAACCTCAAGGTTGTGGCAAACAGGGACAGTTATGTGAACCTCATTCTCCAGCTGAAATTGCAATATTTTATGTAGCAATCTATCTAATTGCTTTAGGCAATGGAGCCCCTGAACCTGCACTTGCTGCATTTGGAGCTGACCAGTTCGACGAGGAGGATGATGAAGAAAACCAATCAAAGAACTCATTTTATAGTTATTTTTATGTGGCCTTAAACCTGGGATCCTTGGTTGCTGAGACTGTATTGGTATATATACAGAACATTGGCAACTGGATCCTGGGGTTCTGGATATGTGCCACTTGTGCAATGGTAGCTTTTTCGTTGCTATTGTGTGGGAGTTTTAGGTACAGACACTTCAGGACTGTTGGAAACCCCATCTCCAAGTTCTGTCAGGTGATAGTAGCTTCCATGAGGAAAATAAACCTTCAAGTACCCTCAGATGGGGAAGGGCTTTATGAAGTTCAAAGAAAGGAAGACAAAAATAGTGGTGTCAGAAGAATTCTTCACACTGATGCCTTCAAGTAAGGGTTTTGTTTGAACATCTTGTGTGGTTTTTCAGTTAGGTTCTTAATGTAATGTGTAATTCTGTTTTGAATGGCAGATTTCTTGATCGAGCTGCCATTATCACCCCACAAGACATTTTCTTGCTAACAAACAAGGGTGAAACAGCAAATCCATGGTATCTTTGCACCATCACACAAGTTGAAGAAGTGAAGTGCATACTAAGATTACTTCCAATATGGCTCTGCTCCATTTTATCCTCTGTAGTGTTCATACAAATGCTTTCCCTCTTTGTCGAGCAAGGAGCTGCCATGGAAACAACAATCTGGAACTTTCACATCCCTCCAGCCAGTATGTTTGCATTTGACATCGTAAGCACATCTGCTTTCATTCTATTGTACGACAAACTCATGGTTCCTTTATACGTCAGACTCACAAAAAGAGAGCCTAAGCCTCCATCCGAGCTACAAAGAATAGGGATCGGTATAGCCATCGCCATGGTGTCCATGATAATTGCAGGCATCGTTGAGCAACAAAGACTAAAATATGCTAACCACAATGGTGAAGAGACAAGTGCTTTAAGCATTTTCTGGCAGACTCCACAGTATGTGCTCGTGGGAGTGTCTGAGGCATTGATATATGTTGCCCAAATGGAATTTTTTGCATCCCAAACACCAGATGGATTGAAAAGTTTGGGAATTGGGTTGTCCATGTACTCTTCAGCCATGGGTAGTTACATATGTAGCATAGTTTTGGCAGCAGTGATGGCAATTACATCAAAGAATGGGAAGCCTGGTTGGGTTCCACCGGATCTGAATGCTGGACATTTGGATAGATACTTCTTTTTGTTAGCTGCATTGGCTGCACTTAACTTGGCCCTTTTTGTTGCTTGCGCTAAGCGGTATAATCCCACATCTTTTGAAAAGAGAGCTGAAGAGGTAGAAATGGAGGCTAGAGATCAAGCCAGTGAAGCTTGAGCTGTTTTCTGTTTTTGGCCAAAGTTCTGTTTCCTGTTCCAAAAGAAGGATTTATGTGACATCGGTCAAAATAGCTTTATGCTTATAAAAGAAGTTTCCAATATACTACTGATATACATTTAGTACTATTTTTTGAGCATATATACATTAATATCTATAAATTTTTTAAAAAAATAATAAAAAAAAATAAGTGCAATATCATCCTCATAATGTTTTTTCAAAATAACTAGAGATAAATGTATACGTTGCACACGACTCGTCCAACTTATAACTCTCAAGATGCAGCTCACTCATTAAACACGTCACAGCTCTCCTCCTCTAAGGTCCACATGACAAATTTTAAGAGTTCCATTGGAAGCCTTGTTTAAACTTCATAACTCCTCCTAAAGCTTCCATGTGGCCAAGTGTGGAAGTCCCCGTTGAGACTTCCTTTTATATATAGTACAAATATATACATGCCATGAGATCATTATAGAAAATTAATCTATTGTTGAGCAAAGTCACCATTAAATATTTAAATTTTCTCATTTATTTATTCGATATAAGATTATGTAATATTATTTCTCATTCGATTACATGATGCTTTCGTTGTGAGTCAAGTCACCCTTCATACTTTACCTTATTAGAGCACTTGGCATAATATCAAATTTGGGTTTACATTTATAAACCTATAACCTTTTCTTTATTTATCTGATGTAAAATTTTGTAACATATTTACATACTATATAACTAAATACATTAATTTATGATACCTTACGTATTCTAAAATTTTAAACTTGTATTTTGACAATGAGAGTGAAATAGTTTAATGATAAAATAATTTTAAAAAAAATTGTATTCTATTGATCTCAATATATAATTGTTCAATCTTTGTTTTTCATTTAAATTTTTTTTTTACATGCATAATTTTTAATTTATTTTTAATAGTATTAAATTTTATTTGTTTATTTTTATACAAATCATTAAACATCAATATTATCTTGCCCAAAAAAAATAAAGAACATAAATATTAGAAAAAAAAATGTATGATAGATCAAAGGGTTTTCTTAATTTTCATATTATGTCAAAAGTGAATATTCATTCAACAGAGAGATTATTGAATTTTTATTTCTTAAAAAACCAAAGGTACTAGTATTTCTAAATATCTTTTTTCTATTAATGGTAAAAAAAGGTGTTTAAACAGTTAAGCTGGATAACAGAAACAGTACAAACAATAAAAAAATAAATAAATAGTGACCTCATCATAGGGCTTGCTTTGTCTTGTCTGGTGGACCGTGGACCTACGACCAGAGACCACTTTACCAAAGTTTCCCCATTCGAAGCTTGCTTCGCTTTGGCTGTCCTCTTTATTTTGTCCGAAAATATTCCCCATTTCGTCCGGCGAAATCTCCGGTCGGGTAAATTTCCTCTTCCACGCCTGTTTGTTCCCGAGAAAGCTGGGTAAATACACGAGCAAACCAAGATTTTATCGCGTAAACTGTGGTCATTTTAGGTCTTATAGTACTGTACCATCTTAGATTTGAAGTTTCAATTTCTTGCATTTTTCTCTTTAAAGTAAGGGCATTTAACATTAATATTTATGTTGTTACTGTTTTGATTTGCTGGAATCTTGTTTAGCTGAAGAGTTTGCCGATTAACAACGTGTTATTTACCCTCCCAAATGATGCATCGTTGCTTGATGTATGTGATCATGCATCGGATTCGTATTAGCTATTGAAGAATTCTGAGTGGGCCTCTGATTCTTTATGATTAATTGTTCAAAATCTTATTATTTTTTTTCTAAAGCTGAGGTCTGTGCCTATGAGATGGACTTAAATGAAGAAGGACGGACTTATTTTTTGCTGAAAAAAGTTTTTTTTATAATAATTTATTGCTATTGTTTTAATCTATCATTTTACAGAAAAGATTTTTAATTTATTTATTACTATTGTTTCAGGTTGAAGGTATTATGTTTGCTGGTTATATCCTGACGAGGGCTCGTGATCTTTTCAGGTACCCTCAGGTCCTGTCATTTCTGTTATACATGGCACAGTAATACTTGTTCTTGTGAGGCTGTTTCATGTATTTTGGTCCTTTATCCAGTGTTGTTCTTTGATTTCCTATTGTTTCTATCTGCAATGACATTATATAAAGATGTCTTCATAGTCAAGTGTTCTGAAATGTGTACATTATCATATTTTGTGATCATGATGTATTACCGCCTTTTATTGTCATCCATCGTACATGGATCTCCCTCTCCTCTATTAATCTAGCGGTTTTAATGCTGTGTGTTTTGGATGTACTATGTCTCGACATGCTATTACATAAGAGCAGCCCTGGTTTAGTTGCTGCCTTGTTTCTCCATTTCTCACTGTTTGAAAACTATTTTAGTGGCTTCTTTTCCTCTCTTTATTGGGCATTGTTCTTGATTTAAAAGATAGATGTTAGTCTTAGAACTTTGTCCTTAGTTTTGCAAAGCTTTGGCAATTAGTTGTACCGGAAACTCCTGTTTATGATGAATATTGGCTTTCAATAACCAGAGTGTGTGTCAGATGGCCCAGCCCAGCCATGCAATTTCAACAGCATTTTGAGCCTATATTGTGTCTGAGATATATCCTAAAAAAGTGGGAAACTCATTCTTCTGTTGTTTATAATTTCCAAGACCAATGAAGTGATTATGTGGATAGACCAGAAGTTAGAATTGGAACTATGCACCTTGTTGAATTTATAAAGTATAGAGATTGTTGGAGATTTGTATATTGCATCCAGATTTAATGCTCATACAGATTTTAATAATGGCTAGAATAAGAGAGCATGCTGAAAGCCAGGTGTTTTTATATACTTAATTTCATGTTAATGTTTTCGTGCAATATACCTTAAAAGGTGCATAAGGTTTACTTCCCTTCTAATACCTGGCAGATGCCATTAATAAAGTCGTCGAAACTTGCAGGTGTTCTGGTAGCAGTATTTTCTCTGAAAGATTCCATTTCAAGTATCCCCTGGGTTGGTAACAGCTATGCTACCGACGGGGGCAAAAGATACTCAACTCCGTGACAGCAATAACCAAAAAGTCCACCCTCAACCTATGGAAGACAACACGAACCAGAATCCAGAAGCTTTGGAAGCTCTGATAACTAAATTATTTACGAACATCTCCTCTCTCAAGTCAGCTTATATTCAGCTCCAAACTGCTCATACTCCCTATGACCCTGAAAAAATCCAAGCTGCTGATAAGCTTGTAATTTCTGAGCTGAAGAATCTATCTGAACTTAAGCACTTCTACAGAGAAAACAACCCCAAGCCAGTGTGCGTTTCTCCTCAGGATTCTCGCTTAGCTGCAGAGATCCAAGAGCAGCAGAGCCTGCTGAAAACCTATGAAGTTATGGTAAAAAAATTCCAGTCTGAAATTCAGAATAAGGATTCTGAGATTCATCAATTGCAGCAGCTAATTGAAGAGGCAAACCAGAAGAGAGTGAAACTGGAAAAGAATATAAAGCTTAGGGGCTTGTCTATGAAGGAATCTGAAGGGTCAGGAGAAGAAAATGGATTCTTTCCTGTGGATTTGACCCCTGAGCTCTTCACATCAGCTGTTGAATCCGCTTTCAAAGCTATTCATGATTTCTCAAAACCATTGATCAACATGATGAAAGCTGCTGGCTGGGACCTTGATGCTGCCGCGGACTCAATTGAGCCCAATGTTGTTTATGCCAAGAGAGCTCACAAAAAATATGCTTTCGAGTCCCACATATGCCAGAGGATGTTCAGTGGGTTTCAACAGGAGAATTTCTCCATTAAATTAGATAATCTTACAGTCACTAAAGAGAGCTTCTTCCACCAATATCTGGCTTTGAGGGAGATGGATCCTTTGGACATGTTGGGCCAGAATCCTGATTCCATATTTGGGAAGTTTTGCCGGAGCAAGTACCTAGTGGTTGTTCATCCAAAGATGGAAGCTTCGTTCTTTGGAAATTTAGACCAGCGGAATTATGTAATGGGGGGTGGGCATCCTAGGACTCCATTTTACCAAGCCTTTCTAAAATTGGCTAAATCTATTTGGCTTTTGCACAGGCTAGCTTATTCATTCGACCCTATTGTGAAAGTGTTTCAAGTTAAAAGGGGAAGTGAATTCTCAGAGGTTTATATGGAAAGTGTAGTGAAGAATTTGATAATGGATGAAAATGATCAGAAGCCTAAGGTTGGGCTAATGGTAATGCCTGGCTTTTGGATTGGTGGCAGTGTCATTCAGAGCCGAGTTTATCTTTCTGGCATGAAGGTTAACGAGTAATTACCAGCACTTCGAAAACCTTTGTTCCAATATGGAGTATTTATATATATATATAGTGTGCTGTTTTTCTTTGTGCTGTATTGTTATTGCTGTACTTTGGTAATTGTAGTAATTGTATCAAGATATAAGGAGCTCTTCATTTTTTTTCTGACCAATTTCCTGTACGTGTTTGCTCTGCATGGCATAACCGCACTCATGCCTTTGATTGCGTAAGAGAATGCAACATCTTGTCCATGATTTGAGCAATCATCCATATCTTTGTTTTTGCACATGGTTTCCTTAGATTACTGCATGGTAAATCTCAGGAAGAAGTCATGACTTTGAAGGCAATTAAATTATTCATCATAAAGCTTCTGTGATCTTCACTGTCTCCATTTCAGGTTTAATACTACTATTTTTTGTTGTATGTGACTGGATAGCTATAAGATATCTACGAGCAGCCATTTTTTATTGCAGATAATTGTTTAGGGAATGAGCGGCCATTTTTTGTATAATGTTAGACCTAATCCATCTTTCTTTCCCCCTTTTGTTGGACAATAAGCCTTGTCAAGTTTTGCCTTGTAAACCCCATAGTACGCATTGAAATTTGTTGAAACTTGAAAGTAAGTCTCATTCCCTAAATAAAGAACAGTTCACAAAATCAAAGCAGATATTCTTGGTCCATTTCAGGCTTAAATTAGTAGCACGTGTAACCAGAGGCCATGTTGACCGTGGGTAATAGGCTGATAAACGTTACAGATATTCACACTGAGTATAGTGATACAGGATATCGATTAAAATATATTCCAAGATTCATCCTGTAGGAAAGCTACACCTTTGATAGATTAGTTTTGATTTTGCGGAGAAACCACTCAATCACATGATTTTAGAGGTGTCCCCACTTGCCTATAAATCCCTGGGTCCCTTAAACGAAGGATCATGTTGCAGTCGGCCGTGGGCATCGCCGGTTCTCCTCAGTCCTCAGCCCCATGGTTCTTATAAAAAGTAGTCCTTTATGGTCAAAAGGGCTACCGCGATCCGTCCTTTTTGCTCAATCAAACCACCTAAAGCAACCAAATGGACTCACTTCGTCTTGTAGTCAGAAATATTTATGAACCCAAGAAAGTCAGAACGACATTTTGCACGTGCTCTTGTTCCATAACATGTTACAAAACATTGTAAGGTCAAATTGGGATTATCTTTGTACTTAAATTTTGTTATTACATTGTCTTAGTTCTACGAAGCTCTAAACAATGCGCGCTCAGCGGCAGTTTTAACATAAGCTGAAAGACAATTATTCATAAAATATTCTTATCTTATTCTGCTTCCTTCGCTACCTCGTTACACAATTATTTGATCTCAATTCACGTAAATTGCAAGCCAGCAAGCTTAGCATGTGACAAGCGCTCTCTTGTCTTCTATATATAGTGTGCTCACCTCTTAGTCTTTCTCTCAAGTCTTGGTTCAACCCTTCAACTATCAGCTAAGCATTGACCAATGGCGAAACACAGCCTCTCCCTTGTGCTTTTCTTTCTTTTCATCTTTCGCATTGCTGGCACGGTTGAGCCATCCATGGCTAGACCCAGACATCCTAGGCATTCCCAAGCCAGGACCTTTATCGAGTCCTCATGTCAGACCACCCGCTATCCAGCCCTATGCATTAAATGCCTCTCCGGCTACGCCAACTCCAGGATTCGAAACGCACAGCAACTGGCGGAAGTCGCCTTGACGGTGAGCCTGTACAAGGCCCGTTACACAAGGTCATACATGTTGAAGGTGGCGAAAAAGCTAGAGGCAATGAAAGCTAGGGAGTATCCAGTCGTGAGAGATTGCTTGCAACAAATAGATGATAGCGTAAACCAGCTAAGCCAGTCAATCAGAGAGCTCCGCGGATTGGATTCGAAAGCTAGGGTCATGACTGATGACGTGTTTTGGCACATGAATAATGTTGAGACTTGGGTTAGTGCCGCCCTAACTGATGCTAGTAGCTGCGTGGATCAGTTCCCGGGGCATAGGATGAGTAAGATGAAGGCCACCATTAAGGGCAAGGTCATGAACGTTGAACAACTAACAAGCAACGCGTTGGCCTTGTTTCACCGATATGCTGCAAGGTATGGTACTGCTGCCACCAAGAAGCCCAAGCCGTAAGGCTGGTCAACCCTTCGAGGATTTGAGAGCCTGCCTGTCTCTTGTTCTTAGGTTTTCATCTCTCGTCTTAATGTAATGTGGATACATGATATGTTCTATTTAATCAAAGTGTGAATATCAAGTTTTGTTAAATAAGATTATTCCTGATTTAATGCTGAATCATGAAAATCGAAAAAGTGACTTATTTTTCTCAGTTTGAAGGAGAAAATGACTCGCTTTCCTTTTTCATCAAAACTGCTCCCCTTACCTTCCTCTTTAATCAAAAGTCTCCCTTTACTTTTTAGTTAAACAAGACATTATCACATTAATTTCGAATCTTTTTTCTGTTTTAAAAAGAATATAAATTACATATCCATTATTATGATCCTTAATTTGCTCATTTTAGGTCCTGTTAACCTTCCAAATTATGTAATGCACATTTCAAAGTTTTAATTTAATTTTTTAATTACAAAGTTACAATTATAACTATTTCATAGACTCCTAATTTGATTGAAATTTTATTCGTTTTACTTTGATTCAAAATCCCCATTTAAAAGATGGAGATGAGAAATTAGTTTCTCTATTTATTTATCACTCTTTTCCATCAACATAGGTGTGGGTTCACGAGATTGATTAAATTAAGTATAATTGTTTTTACACGATAAAATGAACAATACCAAAAGATAAATTCGAATAATAAAGAAGAATTTATATTTGATATATCCTCCCTTTATGTTATTTATACATTATTATTTAATTATACAGTATTATTTAATAAACATTTAAATTTTAAAGTCAAATTTTTTAAAATAAATATTTTAAAATTATGATTATTTATTTTTAATGTTTATAAAATTTAAATTTTTTTATTGATGAGATAGACAATATTTGATTGAATGGAGCATAAAATTTATATATGACACAATATATGATAATAATTTATTGTTGGAGTGATCTTCCAACGATTCCGTTGTAGTCTAGTTGGTCAGGATATTCGGCTCTCACCCGAAAGACCCGGGTTCAAGTCCCGGCAACGGAACTGCTGCTTTTTCTATTTTTCTTTTTTCTGAGCGCGGTAAAAGGGAAATAGTACAACTCGGACAGACTTTCCTTTTTTTGCCAGATCTGAAATTTGAATGTGAGAGCATAAAAAATGTGGAGTAATGAAATCGTATGAGATCAGTCATCAGTGTTTTCAGTAAGTGAACACTGACACTCTCAAGTCTCGAGAGTCAAGGCGGAATTTGGATTTAGGAAGCCCTTTCTTTCTTCATCGAGCTCTTTCTAGAACAGAAATAGGGCAAAATGGCGGCGAGAGAAGAAGAGACTCGGAAGAAAGAGGAAACGGAAATTGCATCGAGCGACTCAGAAGACGATGAGCACGACTCAAAGGAAAGAGTTCTACAAAGATACTTTCTCCAAGAGTGGAAACTGGTGAAATCTCTCTTAGACGACATCGTTTCCAACGGCCGCGTCTCCGACCCTTCTTCCGTGCACAAGATCCGATCCATCGTACTCTCTGGCCCTCTCTTATTTCCTTTTATACTTAATGTGTAACTTTTAATGATTAATTAGTCGTATCATTTGTTTTCCCAGATGGATAAGTATCAAGAACAGGGCCAGTTGCTAGAACCTTACTTGGAAAGCATGGTTTCTCCTTTAATGTTCATCATCCGATCCAAAACAATCGAACTAGGCGTCGATTTCGATGAGATTCTCCAAATAATCAAGCCTATATCCATCATTGTTTATTCTCTCGTAACCGTTTCCGGTTACAAAGCCGTTATCAAGTTCTTTCCGCATCAAGTTTCCGATCTAGAACTCGCCGTTTCTCTCCTTGAGAAATGTCACAACACATCTTCTGTTACCTCGTTACGACAAGAAAGTACGGGAGAAATGGAGGCGAAATGCGTGATGCTTTTGTGGCTTTCGATTCTTGTTTTGGTTCCGTTTGATATATCATCTGTTGATACTAGCATTGCGGGTAGTAGTGGTAGTGTTGGCGAGGATGAGTTGGCTCCTTTGGTGTTGAGAATATTAGGCTTTTCTAAAGATTATCTTTCAAATGCTGGTCCAATGCGGACTATGGCTGGATTAGTCCTCTCAAAGCTTCTAACACGGCCGGATATGCCTAAGGCTTTTACCAGGTATTTTTCCTTGCCATGCATCAGACTTTTTCTTTGGTTATTATGCTGAAATTTAGGTTAATTGAGGTCCTCGAGTAAGCTAATCAGTTATCTCATGTTACCTTTGTTTTTCAGCTTTATTGAATGGACTCATGAAGTTTTATCTTCTACTATGGATGATGTAGTAAGTCATTTTCGATTGATAGGTGCTGTGGAAGCCCTTGCTGCCATTTTTAAGGTTTGTTTTTGATGCTTTTGTGTCTATAGTCTATACAGACTTAAAGATATAAAATAAATAACTAACATTTTTTTTATATAAAAAATCTTGTAGCTAATCAAGTGTAAAAGGCTACTGTAGTGGTATCTTTTTAGTTCTGTCATGATACAGAACTTTTAAGCACTTGAAAGTATTCTCTAGGTCTTCATTTATGCTAAGAAAATTAATATTATCGCATTTATCAAATTGCTGCTACTTTTTTATTGAGTTCTTAATCTTGGTATATCAATCCCCAATATCAATCTCATTTGTACTATTTACTATAGTCAGGCTGGCAGCAGGAAAGTGTTACTGGATGTTGTTCATACCGTTTGGAATGATGACTCTGTGCTGATCAAGTCAGGTACTGCAGCTAGGAGTCCTTTGCTTCGCAAGTATTTGGTGAAGTTAACTCAGAGAATTGGACTTACTTGCCTCCCTTATCGTTCACCATCCTGGCGCTATGTGGTCAGTATGGCTTAATGATTTACTTTCGGATTGTGAACTACGTATACTTGGGATTCTCTTCACAGATATGGAAACTGTTAGATTTGTCTAAAGAATGAAGTTTTGTCAATTTTTTGAAAAGTTGAAGTATCTGTTGGTCAAAGATCCTATAGAGCATGCCAAGTTTCCATGTAACAAATGATAAATCTTGAAGGATTTACATGTACCATATAAGTAATTTGTGTCTGCTTTTGTGTCATTGCTGGTGCTAGTTAACTTGTACTTTCTAATTTAATTTTTATTATCCTTAGCAATGTGATTTTGGTGAAGTCTTTTTGGTCACTGATCTTCTGTTAACCAAATACAGTCCTGCTTTGGTGATGCTCTCTTACCTTTCTGTTTGCCTTTTATGTAGGGAAGAACCAGCTCACTTGGAGAGAATATTTCTCTGAATGCATCCAACAAGAATGATCAATTGAATCATGGTGTGGTTCTACCCAACTCTGAATCAGAAGAAAATTCCAACTGTCCTGAGGATGAAGATATGGATGTTCCAGAGATTATAGAAGAGATTATTGAGGTGTTACTTTCCGGATTGAGAGACACGGTATGTCTTAAGGGTGAGATTCTGTTATGTGAGCTCGTTGCTTTCTTATGTAAAATAGCTCCTAGGAAAGCTTTGGATGATGTTGTTGACACGTCATCTTTAGACTTCTATTTACCTTGTTGACTTTATCTTTCATCAATATATCATATGTAGGTACACATGGTCTTTCCATAATGTTAACTAGTATTTGGAGGTACCCATCATCTGAAACTTCAATATGATTGTAAATGGAATTCCCATTGCCCTTTGAAGAGTTTATGGCAACAAAAAAATGTAGGCTCAATTGATATGTTGTAAATATGAAATTTCACATCTATATATGTTCTCAAAATAGGTCCCTGATGACCATGCAATTGAAAGTGGCCAAGTTGTCGAAGCATCGTGATAGCATTGCAGGGCAAGCCTATGACCAAGCAATAGATAAAAGTTTGACATGAACTTATGGATTCTTTAAGATGAGCAATGCATTCATTTTTTTTCTCCTTTTAGACTGCTGGTTTGATTATTAGGGATTTGGTATGTAGGATACCGTAGTACGTTGGTCTGCTGCAAAAGGCATAGGCCGCGTAACTTCACGTTTGATGTCTGTACTCTCAGAAGAGGTCTTGTCATCTGTATTGGACCTGTTTTCACCTGGTGAGGTATGCTGATATTGTTGCACTCTCTCTTCTATCTTATTCTCCCCCAATGGCATAAATAGCAATTACAAATTTCATACTATGAATATTTCCATTCCTTCTAAAACTATTTTAACCATTTTTAGCTTGTAGACTATAGGAGTCATGCTGATACGTAATGATTTTCCAGGGAGATGGTTCATGGCATGGAGGTTGCTTAGCATTGGCTGAACTGGCACGGAGAGGGTTGCTCCTACCTACCAGTCTCCCCAAAGTTGTACCTGTTGTTGTAAAGGTTGTGTGGGTTTTAACCTTCTTAAAGTAAATGAACACTAGAAGAAGTTCTTCCCTGTATCTATGAAAGTTGATATGGTTGTAAAATTTCTTCCCTGATAACAATTGCATGCTTGAGCTTGGTTGACTTACATTTTAAGCAGAAATTCTTTGCTTTAAATGTGTTTAGCATCAAGGCTCAAATGTAGTTGCTGATTATTAGAAGTCTTCTTGACAGGCATTACATTATGATGTTCGAAGAGGTCCGCATAGCATTGGATCTCATGTACGTGATGCTGCTGCCTATGTTTGTTGGGCATTTGGTCGTGCATATTATCATACAGATATGAGAAATGTATTGGAACAGCTTGCCCCACACCTATTAACTGTGGCATGCTACGATCGTGAGGTGCTGACCTTCGTGTATTTGTTCTGTGCCACATTATCTATTCTGCTCATCCATGTAATATTTTATTAGTCTTATTTCATCATGCTAAAAATTTTGATTGATTAGGTTAACTGTAGAAGAGCTGCTGCAGCTGCTTTTCAGGAGAATGTTGGAAGGCAAGGGAATTACCCACATGGCATTGACATAGTGAATACTGCAGATTACTTTTCACTTTCATCACGAGTGAACTCTTACATTCATGTTGCTGTCAGAATTGCTCAGTATGAAGGGTATCTTCATCCATTTGTGGATGAGCTTCTGCATAACAAGATCTGTCACTGGGTATGGTCTGAACTTTAAGTTAACAAGATGCCTTCTTCAAACTTCATCTTTTTGAAAATGAACATTTATGTTAAGTTTCTAACTATTTTGGATGCTGTCCTGTTGGATGGGGCATATGCTGCCATTTCATTGAAAATCACGATGGACTTTATTTGGGTTAGATATGCAAAGATTAGAGGAGTGTTGTTGTTCTTGTGTTAAGTTATAATGCAAGCTATGCCTTCTCTTCCACGTTTGAGATGTTTCAACTGGTGATGAGCCTTTGAGAAAGCTATAGCCTTTAAGGACTTGTAAACAATGAATTGTTAAAGTGATGTTGCTTCCTGGTTTTTAGCTTGGTGAATTTAGTTCAAAGTCATTCAACACGTTGGATACCAGGAGAGCCACGCTGATGGATCCTGTTCATACATTAATTAACTGACAGATCACAGGTGGAATTAACTGGGTTTTGAGAAGATAGCACAACTTATAATTTTATATAAGTTAGGACTTCATTCATTGATCTAGGAACTTTTCATTATAAGTCTTAGTTTATTATACCTCTGATAATTCTCATGATCCATGCTTGGTGGTATTTCTAACATGAACCAAGGTTTTAAAGCCTTTTTTCTTATATATAATAGGAATCATGATCAACATTATCATTACTTTTTCCTTTTGGTTGTTATTGCTAATACATTTAGGTGTTTCTTTCTTCAAATGAAACTTTTAGTAATAGATATTTATGAATTGTATTAATTTCTTTTAGGAATATACAACTTGTTATTTTTTCCTCTTGGTTGTTATTGCTAATACTTTTAGGTGTTTCTTTCTTCAAATGAAACTTTCAGTCATTATATATTCATGAATTGTATTTAATTTCTTTTAGGAATATACAACTTATTCATGAATTTTAATTAATTGCTTCAGGATAAGGGCTTGAGAGAGCTTGCTTCAGAGGCACTTTCTGCACTTGTTGGATATGATGCTGTGTACTTTGCAAACTTTGTCCTGGAAAAGTTAATTCCTTTTACTCTGTCATCTGATTTATGCACGCGCCATGGTGCAACCTTAGCAGCTGGAGAACTTGTTTTGGCTTTACATCAGTGTGGTTATGATCTTCCCATCGGTAGGCCACTTTTCTTCCCCTTTAAGTATATAATTAATTAGTGGAAAATTCAATTAAATTTACCATAAGATAGACCAAAGAAGTGTTCAGGTTTGATTAGATTTCTACTCTGGGATGCTTCAATAGATCAGGTTATTCTTATCCATTCCTGGTTACCTTTAGAATGGAATAGTGTCCTGAGTTGAGATTTCTCTGAATGCATGTTGATTTTTGCTTGAACAATGCTATGTTTCATAACCATCTTGGAAACAAAATAGAAACCACGAAAGCTTAGTTGTTTGAAAATGTTTAGAAACATAAATGCAAGATTTATATTTGAAAATGCTTAATTTCTAAGTAAGTATCACTGGCAGTTGCTGTTGTAGAGTAGGCTTTGGTGGTTGAGTTGAGTGAATAGTATTATATAGGTGTTTGGTGGGAGGGGGGTAAATTTAAAGGGCAGATACCATGAGTCAGAGCCTTCTTATGTTTCTTGATGGAAGCACAATTCCATAAAGATTGAGAAAATCAATTTGCTTAATATAAGATATCGTCTGCTGCTGTTGTTTGTCATGTTAAATATGCTGTATTTTGTCTCAGTTTCTCATTCTAGTTGCTGTTTTGTTCAAGCTTGTAAATCCATAAATTAAGCCACAGTTGCTTGTGTTTATATATACAGATAAACAGAAACAAGTTTCTGGTGTTGTCCCTGCTATTGAGAAAGCACGCCTTTATCGCGGGAAGGGTGGAGAAATAATGCGTGCAGCTGTTTCCCGGTTCATTGAATGCATCTCATTCTCTCGCCTATCTTTGACAGAGAAAATAAAACGAAGTTTGCTTGATACACTTAACGAGAATTTGAGACATCCTAACTCTCAGATACAGGTACTTCTTTTGTGGATTTTTTTTTCTTAAAACAGATTTTTCCCCTAATTGATTTTGATATCTTGAATTGAGAATCAAAATTATTATCTAATGTCCAGAATACAGCTGTGAAAGCCCTAAAACACTTTGTACAAGCATTCCTTGTTGCTATGGATAGTAAAGGTTCCATTAGTGTAACATCAAAGTACCTGCAACTCGTGGGTGATTCAAATGTGGCTGTAAGAAGAGGATCTGCAATGGCATTAGGGGTTTTACCCTATGAATTGTTGGCTAATCAGTGGAGAGATGTTCTTTTGAAGCTTTGCAGGTCTTGTGCAATTGAGGTGCACTTGCTACTACTTCTCACTGAGATTAATTTAGTCGTCTAAAGAACTGTCAATGTTTGACTGATGTAAGTGTATGTTTTCTATGTGCAGGATAACCGTGAGGATAGAGATGCTGAAGCACGGGTTAATGCTGTCAAAGGACTTATATCAGTTTGTGAGACATTAGCTCAGGCAAGAGAAAATTCTGATATCCATTCTGGAGAGGAAGGCATGTCTCTGTTTCTTCTGATCAAGAATGAGGTGATGGTTTGTTTGTTTAAAGCTCTTGATGACTATTCTGTCGACAACAGAGGTGATGTGGGTTCTTGGGTTCGTGAGGCTGCTATGGAAGGCCTTGAAAGGTGTACATATATCCTCTGTCAGAGATGTTCTATGAGTTCCACCAGGGAATCAGATGTGCTTGGATCTGTCTCAAAGCTACCTAATAGCGATTTTGCTGAAGAGAACCAAATGTGTTCATTTTTTGACGTAAATCTTGCCACCAATTTGGTGGGAGGAATTGCTAAGCAAGCTGTAGAAAAGATGGATAAGTTAAGAGAAGTGGCTGCTAAGGTTCTCCAAAGGATTCTGTACCATAAGGAAATATTTATCCCTTTTATACCTTATAGGGAAAAGATAGAAGAAATTGTTCCCAATAAAACAGATTTAAAGTGGGGAGTAAGTAGTTATGTGTTACTTGTCCAGTTTGCTTCTTAAGTACTTTTGGATCTTACATTAATGCCATTATGTGCCTTGCTTGTAGGTACCTACCTTTTCATATCCTCGTTTTGTGCAATTACTTCAGTTCAGTTGTTATAGCAGACCAGTGCTGTCTGGTTTAGTTATTTCGATTGGTGGCTTGCAAGATTCTTTGAGGAAGGCATCACTGTCTGCATTTTTGGAGTATCTTCAGGTAGATGAAGACATTAATAATGAATCCAAAGTGTGTAAATTATCCAACGACATCCTTTGGATTCTCCAAGAGTATAAGCGATGTGACAGGGTCATTGTACCCACTTTGAAGGTAACTGAACCTCTTGATACCATCTCCACCGACAAAAAAGGATATAACAAAGGCATTCCCCTTTATGTTGAAACCTTTAATTTGTCTTGCAATGAGTTAATTATGGAATTTTTTTTGCTTATTTTTATTTTAATTTTTGTTGGTGATTCATATATTGCAGACAATCGAGATTCTTTTCAGCAAAAAGATCTTCTTGGATATGGAGGTTAGTGTCCCTCTCTTCCTCTTGCTCTACACCATCTATAGTTGATGCTGTTAGTTTCTCATTATTCCGTTCAGTTATTACGATTTACCAAAACATGTGAATTGTGTTCCATGTTTTTATATATATCAAAATAGTATATCTCACATCCTCTAGATGCAAATGGCCATCAGATGGTCTTCTTTTCCAGGTGGTTGTAATAACCTGTATTACAATCACTTTATTGTGGGAGATTTTCCAGTGGATTTTTGAAGTTTTATCTTTATTACTTTCTTTATGTAGAGAAAATTGAGGAATAATTGTGGTTTACTGATTGATTTGTTAGGTTTCAAAAATATCAATCATTCTTTAGACTGCATTCTAAATTATACAACGCTGAATATTAATTTCCAGGCTCAAACTTCGATTTTCTGTGCTGGTGTTTTGGATTCTCTGGTGGTTGAAATGAGAGGGTCAAAGGATTTCTCTAAGTTATATGCAGGCATTGCAATACTGGGATATATTTCCTCACTTTCAGATCCCATCAACTCCCGGGCCTTTTCCCATCTTCTCACTTTCCTTAGTCATCGGTACCCTAAGGTTTGTTGTGGTGATTACATTTGTTGAATTATAGTAACTCTTTTACTTATAGAACGAAATGGTGTGCAGCTGACTTGATGCAACACCACTGTACATGAGTAGGAATTATGCTTATAGTATTATCTTTTTGTTTGAAGTGCTTATAGTATGTCTTTCATCTGCCAGATTCGCAAAGCTTCAGCTGAACAAGTTTACCTTGTCCTGCTCCAAAATGGAAGTCTAGTGTCCGAGGAAAAAACAGAGAAGGCACTTGAAATTATTTCTGAAACTTGCTGGGATGGTGACATGGAAACAGCAAAGCTTATGAAGTTGGAATTGTATGCTATTGCTGGTCTGGATGTTGGACCGATAAAAACTACTGAAAAAGTTCCAAACAAGGATGTTAAGAAATCTGCAGCTCCAGATGAGAACGAATCCTACTCTTCATTGGTCGAGTCAACTGGGTTTTGAGTTTTGACTGCTTCAACTGTATACGAGCCTCCTATAGTACATTTTTCAATTTTTATTTCCTTTTATCAATTAGCTTCTTCAGGTGAAGTGCAGAGAGAGATGTATCGTGTATTGCAATTAGGTGATGACAGGCATTTAGGGTTTTGTTGAAAATTATGTATATGCTTGCTCTGCTGATGACCTCCACGTCGACTGAGGATTTGATATAAGGCTCGAAACTGTTCAATCCGTTGACATGCATGTCACAGCTCTTCATGGGCCAAGTGGCCCATTTAGGCAAGCAAGCTCGGCCCGTTTAAAAATAGACATGCGAATTATAACGTGATTGGACGAGTGATCTTAATAGAAAATGTGGCTTGTTGTTAATAAATTGTGTATACAAAGGGGCAGAGCCTAACGAAGGCCCAATTGTTAATGGGTTCAGAAAGCCGGATGAGGTCTTTTGAGGACCAAATTTGAATTGGCTTCAGCGTCCACAATCATTAATTTGAATGTGCAGCATCAGGGCCCACTATTAATGGGGTGGAATGGCTCATTAAGCCCTGTCAAGCCCAAATTCAATAAAATAGAAAGAATCATGAAGCACAAATGTAAATGGACTTGATTGGCGTAGGTAGGTACACCTTATTTGCAATAGGTTGTCTCCTAGCGTTGACTGAGGTTCAACTAATATTGTGTTTTTTTTATTCGATTAAAATGTTTTGCTACAGTTGTCTTCCGTCTAATTTTTTGTTTTTTAGGTTTTCATTTTCTACCATTAGTGCACCACCAAAAATGTAAACATTTCTTTTCAGCACATTTTTTTCCCAGCATTCAAAAAAAAAAAAATTGAGATCATCTTTTAATGAAAAATGATGTGCATAAAAATGACAATAAGTACTCTAATTTATTTTATTGATTAGGTAATATTTATATTTGAATTTTGGATGAATTTGAATAAAATTTTAATTATTTATCTTGAAATCGAGTAAGATACGAGTGTCACTTTTAAAATATCTAAATTATTTTTTTAAAATTACACTATAATATTGAATGATAAAAATACGTGACAATCGAGTTGTGTAAAAAGATCTTACTAAATAGTTTTTTGTCCTAATCCTAAATGTATAGTAAAAAGCAAAAACAAAAAGCATTAACTCTCCATAATAAAAAAACAAAAAAGAGAAAGCGTAATATAAATATGATAGTAACAAGAGGATTTACAATAACATTAACAACATGTTTGGTTGGGGGAATGAAATAACCATTCTCCGCTTATTCCTAATCCTTATTTATCACTTTATTTGCTAGGAGATAAGGGAATAACTAATAGCAAGTTTCTGGCTATTCAAAGAGACAAGAAATAAAGTAAAAACATAAATAAACAAAAATGTCATTCATT